GTGGATGGTTGAAGGAAGAGTCTGGTCGAATCACCTTCCTCGAGTGACCCTGTCCTCGCTGGAAAACCACGACCGTCCATTTTAGGGCTTCGGCCGATGTCCTCTTATCCTTAGATTTTTCTGGATCAGGTAGCAACCCTTGGACGATGCCCTCTTATCCTTAGATTTTTCCGGATCAGGTAGCAACCCTCTTACCTTCAGATTTCAGAAGTCCTCTAATAATAACCTGCACGTTCTATCATATTTTTTCTTCCTCTCTTCCCTTCTCCTCTCTCCCTCTTATACAGAACTGTCTCCTCCCACTTTTTCCCCCATCTCCTCCTCCCACTTGGGTAAAATTACTTCCTTTTCCTTTTCTCCCTCTCTGTCTTCCACAAGACATATTTCAATCTTCTCCTTTTTCTCCTTTGATTCCCCTTTCTTTCCTTCCACTACTTTCACCTCCTTATTTTCTTTTCTCTCCCCTACTTCTATACCTTTCTCCTAATCTGACGTCTCTAGTTGACGGCTCACTCTGTTCTTTCTCCTTTAGATCTACTGCTCCTTCACATGTTGCCTTTGAAAGTCATTTATAAACTTAACTGGTACAAAATGCTCCTAAAACTTTAGCCATCAACATTTGGGGGTAGAATTTCTTACTTTCTTTTGTATCAACTACATCTGCTGCTTTTCCATCTCTGGGTGCAGTTAAAAGTGTTGTTAATTACATATAGGGCCCTGAAAAGTCCAGGAATAGCATACGTTAATGAACATCTTATTTCTCATGACTTTTCCTATCAGCTTAGATCACCTGGGGGAAATGCAGATACCTTCCGATAATTAGAATGATCTGTAGAACAGATATTAGGGTGTACAGCCCTTGGAACTTCCTGCAGTTTCAGAGGTCTTTGCCTAACTGCTGATTTTGTTTTTTACTTGGCTTCTTCTTGGTTTTTATTTCTTTTGTTTTGTTTGGAAGGCTTAAAATGTATTTACTGATTAGTCTTTATTGACTGTATTAAAATGATTTCATATTGAAATCAGCTGTTTTTATGTTTTGATGTGAACTGCATTGGGTGTTTCTTTAAGAACAGAAAGATGGGGTGTAACCATTTTAAGCAAATAAAGAATATGAATAATTTCACTTCCTTTTTCTCTCTGCAGCAGTTGCTATGGGAAGTAGCCTTTGGAAGCATGTTCAGATATGATGTATCCCTGATGGAATGTTGTTTGCATGCAAATAATAGTCCCTTAGCAGAACTGTTTAAATACATTTCCAGATGAAATAAAATTATTTCATTCCAGGAGGGCTTCCAGATGAATTGGAAATTTGTCTTGAAGCTGCCTATAGCCATATTCAGTGTTTTGGTGCTTAGGGCTCACATGGCATTGCTCCACCTTTTTCCATGCATTTTAGGAGTCTACCCTTTTTTTTTTTTTTTGCAAAACTCAAGTAACACATGGGTCATTGCACTCATACCACTGGTCATTAGTGTGAAAAGAATGGTCAACATGTCTTACAGGCTGCTGAAATTCATTTGAGATGCAATTTACTAAAAAGACAGGCTGTGAAACTTGGTCTGCCTTACCCCTCCTCTCTTTAATGCCACTTGCCTATTCTATGAATGGGATCCACTTCACCCCTTGTTGAATTGCATCTGTCTCTGGGGCAGAATGTAGGAGCTGTTTAACATCTGTGCAGACACAAGGCCCCAACAGCTTAGGACAGGATGTGGGAAACGTGGTATCCATTTGAAACTGCAAAAAGGAATGTATATGAGCAGATTCTGTAGCTTGCATATGTTTTTCTGCCGCTTGTAGAACACATTCCTCTTACAGCCAATGAGATAGAACGTTCCCTATTTAGGAGCGACCTAAGGGAGAATTGGAAAGCGCACAGGTGTGGAATTATACAGTATCATTCCCTTTAGGCCCCATAGCGCAGATGCTAACAGCTACACAATGAATCCTTGAGCCTGAAAAGCCAGCAAAAAAAAATCTCAAGTGGTGCTGTTTGTTTGTTTTTAAAGTGCATGGAGGCCTAGGTTCTCTTGGGCCAGCTGCTGGTCACAATAGCTTGGTCCCTTTAAGAAGAACAGGCAGATTCTGAACCTTTTTGTAGTCCTGTATTCACTTCTTTGCATGCTTTTCAAAGGACTGAGTTTAGGCACCATAGCTATCATACAGCTATGCCCCTTCTTTCACGCATGCCAAAATCCTCTTCCACTGGGCCTTCTCTCCAAGGGCACATTACTTCTTCATTTGCCATGCAATTTGAGTATTTTTAAATGACCACATCTTCCTTGAATGTGCTTATTTTCCTGTTTCTTCTTACTGTCTTTTACTCCTTGGGCCATGTCTCCTAAAACTATAAATCATTACTGTCTTAGGAACCCTTCGGTGGAAAATGGAAAGCAAAAAGTGCCAATTGCTCCATTTAGTAGAAGTTACCCTTTTAAAAGGTGATAGTGTCATGGTCAGCAAGCAGTGGAAAGGGACAGAAGAGGAGGAAGGCTGGTTTCAGAAGTCACCTGTTATCAGATTATTTGAACCAAAAGCCACCTGTAATGTGGTGGATATGAAATAAAATGGAAGTTAAACCTGACTGACAAAATTAGCTTATGCTGCCATGTCTATTTAGTTTCATCCAGTAGTCTTAGAAGCTAGGAAGTAGAGTGCACAATAAAGAATGAGAAGAGAACATCCAGGCGCATGGTTCCCTTGCAGTCCAACAAAGCCGTGTTCTCTTCACCTGGGATTATTAGATCTGCAAAGGTCTACAGGCGGCTTTTGTTTCTGATCTGTGAGTCTAAATTGAGCATCCAGCTAAGTATACAGGAGAATGAGCCCCATTGCAAAATGAAGCCCTACTGTGTGACATAGCGTGTGAGACTGCTCCTGAAAGACAGTCTGTTTCATACATTACCACTGAAGCAGGAAAATGTTAAAAATGTAACATAGTCCCTCTTCTTCCCTGCAATATATGTACATGACACAAACATGTGGCATGGATCCAAGGCCAGTTGTAGTTGGCTGTGACATGTTTCTATATTATATATGCAGTTAAAAGCAAACAAATAACAAGCTGCCATGCAATTCATTTTCAAATGATTTAAAAAGCAGATTAAAAACATTATCTAAAAATGAATCTAGATATTCTCTAAAAGCCAGGTGTTTTCTTAACACAAAAACAAAAACACATTCAGAATATAGAGATCAAGAGTCTGGTTGGAGCAGTACAATCATGGCCCAACAGAGAATGAGCTACCAGCCTAGTGTCTTGGGTGGTGGTGGTGGGAAGACCCAGACCCAGAGGGTGCTCTGTTCGTATTTGCTTAGAACTTGATTCAGTGTCCAGGAGTGGGTACCATTTAGTCAGACTTTTTTGGGATCAGCTTCAGGTATTGTAGCCTGATGACATGGACAAGATGCTTGGATCAGCCTGTCCCACTACATGTAAGCCTGATCCTTTAGTCCATATTGACTCATAAGGTCCAATGGAAGTGGTTGCATTGGGTAGGTCTAGGAGGCGGCAAATGCCTCATTATCTTGGGGACAGTGCCTGCTGCCTTTGAAAGGTCAGTGGTTCACCTTTTCCTCAAGACAACCTCCTTTTACCCAAAAGTTAGTGAGAACTCCTGCTCTATCGCACATAATTACTTGTGGGGTAGTGTTTTTGAGCAAGTGGTTGCTGGGCAAGTGCCCACATTCTTGGACAAAAGAAATTATCTGGGCCTGATTCAGTCTAGTTTCAGGCTGGGGTTTGGCACTGAAACAGCCTTGGTCACCATGACCAGTAATCTATTGCTAAGGAAGGATAAGGGGAATGCAACTCTCTTCATTTTCCTGGATTTCTCAGTGGCTTTTGATATCATTGTTCATGGCATGTTTTTGGACTGACCCAGTGGAATGGGAACAGGAGGCACCGTGTTGTGGTGGTTCTGTTCCTACCTGTGGAACTGGTTCCAGAGAGCGGCAATGGAGGATTTCTCTTCAGCCCCATGGTTATTAATCTGTGGGGTGTCACAGGGATTCACTTTGTCCCCATGCTGTTTAGTATCTATATGAAGGCACTGGGAGAGGTCACTTGAAGTTTGGGGATTGGGTGCTGTCAGTATGCTAATGGCACCCAGCTCTGTTTCTCCTTGTCAGTGGAGTTGTCTGAAGCTGTGTATGTGCTGAATTACTTTTTTTTTGGGGGGGGGTGTTCAGTGAGCTGGATGAAGGCTCATAAACTGAATCTGAATTTCAACAAGATGGAGACTGTGACTTTGTGGTTTCTGTTTCTGAGAGTTGGGTAAACAACCTGCTCTGGATTGGGTTGCACTGCCTCTGAAGGAGCAGGCACATGGCTTGGGGATACTCCTTGAGCCATCTTTATTACCTGAGGTCCAGGTGAGCACAGTGGCTCTGACTGCCTGGGGCTGTCTTCAATTGATTCACCAGCTGCAATCATTCCTGGGCAGGGACAACCTGGTTACAGCAATTCATGATGAACTGGTACCATCCTAATTAGACTCCTATAATGCACTTTCAAAGTCAGTCTCACATAATCTAATTGGGAGATAATTAAGGCATAGACTACTGTACTGTGGTCATTAGGACTTTCCCAGACATGGATCTACTTGATCCCTCACCCTGCAAAAGCACTTTGGAAGTTGAAATTTGATAGAGGAAGGGTTGGAAATTCTGCACAAATTTTCATTATCTGTATATTTTGTAAATCCCTTTTTAGGGAACAGAGATGAAATGAATAGCTGCATGGGTCACTTGTGGCCTGCTTGGGATTCATGGGAAATTATCGTAACCTTATCCTTTGAAAGGCTCTCAGTGTACAAGTCCCCCCCCCCAAGAAGACACCATCCTGTACTTGAGAGCCTGGCTTTCCTGGTGATTGTAAATTTGAAGATATTAAGTTCCTCTTCTCATCAGCAACGATTTACTAATGATATGCTGAAATATTGATAAAGAACTAATTTCTCATTGCTATTTCTCTGTTCCTTTCCTTTCCTTTTCTTTAGCCCCTACAGATTGATGACAATTTCTGTGGGCAGGATTTTAACCAGCCATTGGGTGGAACAGTCACTATTGAAGGCACGCCACTCTTTTTGGACAAAGAAGATGGCATGACATCTGTGGCTGCTTATGACTATCGTGGACACACTGTGGTGTTTGCTGGCACACGCAGTGGCAAGATAAAAAAGGTAAGCAACCCAATTATTCATATTAACAGTTTCCTCTGGTTTTTTTAAATTAATGGTTTTTATTGATTTCATTGATTATTGTTTTTAGCTGTTGGTTTTACTGCATTTGTTGTAAATACTTTGAGATTTTTTAAAATGAAAAGTGATGGAAACTCTTGTTGTTGTTGTTGTTGTTGTTGTTGTTGTTGTTGTTGTTGTTGTTGTTGATGATGATGATGATGATGATGATGATGATGATGATGATAATAATAATAAT